CTTAAGGTCCAGATATCTATAGTCTTCTATTTTAGTCTCTGGAATGTATTGATTTTAAGACCAACAAACATTATCAGGGGTTCATTTACGTACATTTAATTTACATTTTTGAGGAAACTTCATCATTTGTGATATTGTTGGAGTTTAGATTACTGACAATTTTCCCTTCAATACACGCCCCCTGACCCGTCCCACACACCCCTGACCCGTCCCACGCCCCCCAACCCGTCCCACACGCCCCTAACCCGTCCCACACGCCCTCTGACCCGTCCCACGCTCCCTGACACGTCCCACACGCCCCCTGACCCGTCCCACACCCCCCAACCCGTCCCACACCCCCTAACCCGTCCCACACACCCCCTAACCCGTCCCACACGCCCCCTGACCCGTCCCACACCCTCCAACCCGTCCCACACCCCCTAACCCGTCCCACACACCCCCTAACCCGTCCCACACGCCCCCTGACCCGTCCCACACGCCCCTAACCCGTCCCACACACCCCCTGACCCGTCCCACATGCCCCTGACCCGTCCCACACGCCCACCCTGACCAACCCGGTGTTCCCCAAGCCAGAGGACTCACTGAGACAGAGCGTGAGGAGGTCGGCGACGGCCAGGTTGACGAGGTAGTAGTTAGTAGAGGTCCTCATGGTGTGGTTCCTAGCCACTACCAGGCAAGTCAGGGCGTTGCCCACCACGCCCCCGACGGCGATCACCATGTACACCGCCGTCAGTGGCAGCAGGGCGCTGTACCTGTACCAGATACAGGGCAGGCGATGAGTCACAATAACGTGGCTGAAGTATGTTGACCAGACCACACACTAGAAGGTGAAGGGACGACGACGTTTCGGTCCGTCCTGGACCATTCTCAATCGACTTGAGAATGGTCCAGGACGGACCGAAACGTTGTCGTCGTCCCTTTTACTTCTAGTGTGTGGTCTGGTCAACAGACACAGGGCATTAACACACACCTATAGTTATCACATCTGTATCAGGCACACACCTGTAGCTCTCACACACATTCATTTTGAAGAATTTGTCCTCACATATGGGCAGATTTACGTCTGAATGGTAGAACTTGGTACAGTTTGGCCTGTAGTGTACGTGCCTCTACTGTAATCACGTACCTCTGTTCTCACGTACCTCTGTACTTACGTGCCCATAACCTCGCTGTAGTAGACACCTGTAATTTCTGGAGAGGTGACACCTGTGAATGATCTAGGTGTAGCATATGGGTCTCATTTACACTTACAAATTATACCCAGATGGAGTGTGGGGGGGGGGGGGGCTGCTGCAGGTGTCTGAATAACACCTGTGGAGTTTGTATAAGGAACACGTGTAGCCTGGCAACACCTGTACGCTGTCACGGGAGAATACCTGTGCTTTTATTGCTCTGTATACAGGTATACATGTCTGTTGGTCTATGTATGCATTAATGGAGTGATTTTACGAGGGTTGACGAAGCAAATTACTCTCAATAAACTAAGTCCAAGAAGTCAATATTATATGTTAGCAAAGACAGAGTTACTAACAGACAAAGACGCTCTCTTATCACAAATCAGGCTGAATCAGGTCTCATATACAACATACACAACATTAATCACGCCTCATACACAACATGAATCAGGTCTCATACACAACATGAATCACGCCTCATACACAACATGCCCAGCTTGAAGCATAGTCGTGACTTTGTTGTTGCTGTTGTCTCAGTACACAGTTAATTACCTAACCTTCCTAAACGTGATCTGAGAGCTGCAGCTTGCTATAGACTCTCTCTATTCTTCTGTGGTCGTGGGTTCGAGGGTTCGGCGGTGGAAGTGAATACATTATTCCACGTTGATTGTGGTTTGGAGTTTATTTTAATAATAGGTGTATTAAACAAGGATATTGGCTGTCAGTTGATACAACAGCTGTAATGTGTCATGTTCAGCGGTGAGGTTAATGACACTCACACAACCAATTACCACAAATCACACGAGTCTGTTGATACGTTGTTCAGTTTTATGGGGCGTCCGGTTTTTGTTTATATATAATATTTTTATGCAGCAGAATCATTGGTCGCTGTGAGGTGTTTACTCTCGCATCTGCAGCACAATCATTGGTCGCTGTGAGGTGTTTACTCTCGCATCTGCAGCACAATCATTGGTCGCTGTGAGGTGTTTACTTGCATCTGCAACACTATCACTGGTCACTGTGAGAGTAAACTGTGCCTGACTGGTCACCGTAGACACAAGAGTTCGAGCCTCCTCTACGGTGCTGGCACTATAAAGCGATGTTCGACCTTATCTTGAGATAATTTCGTGGCTTTTTTAGTGTTCCCGCGGCGCGGTCCTCGACCAGGCCTCCACCCCCAGGAAGCAGCCCGTGACAGCTGACTAACACCCAGGTACCTATTTTACTGCTAGGTAACAGGGGGCATAGAGTGAAAGATACTCTGCCCAATGTTTCTCGCCGGCGCCTGGGATCGAACCCAGGACCACATGATCTCAAGTCCAGCGTGCTGTCGGCTCGGCCGACCGGCTCCCGTCATTTACAAAGCTTGTGCGTAAGCTTCGCCTGAAGGAAAAAGTTTGACATTTAGAAACACTACATGACCTCTGACCTTCAGCACATCCAGATTTTTATCCTTTTTCCCGAGAACAAATGTCTAAATCACATATGGAGGAAGATTGCAGTATTAAGGTGTCTCTGATCTTAATGTTTCTTACGATAAGTCAAGAGATTTTACGTTGCATCTTTGCTTGGAGATGAAATATTTTATGTCTTAAAAACTGCGTCTGGACTCGCTGGTAAATACCTCCGCTCTTGACGTGGTTGTCATCTGGTCTCGGGAGGAAATGTTCGCTTACTTAATCTTTTGCTTTGATATATATATATATATATATATATATATATATATATATAGGGAAGGGAGTACCACCTCTGGCTGGAAGAAGGGGGACCCATAGCCTGGGAAGAAACCACACATAACGCATTGGAGGGAATGTATGTGTGTATATATATATATATATATATATACATATATATATATATATATATATATATATATATATATATATATATATATATGTATATATATATATATATATATATATACACACACACACACACACACACTAAAGCAATCTTGGAACATGTACACACTAGTCGCCTCACGCCTCGCCACTCCAGGTTGGCTTATACCACATTAAGGCATCTATAAACTTCACTTCAAGACACACACACAAACACACACACAAACATAAACACACAAACACACACACACACACACACACACACACACACACGAACCTATCCTATTCCTAATATATATCAAAGATTTCGACAAGAAATAGACTTTCGCATCAAAGTTTTCAGAAGTACAAATAATAAGGAAGATTAACACATTTATATTGAGGCTGACTAGGACACACAGCCAAATGGGGGTACATACGCGGGACTTCAAAGCATGTAAGGCAAATCTTAACTATCCTCATTATATATATATATTACAGGACAGCTTCGTGAGCAAGTGCGTCAGCAAAATGGAAACGACAGATGTGAATGGAAATTCTGTAATGCAAGAACTTGTAACTAAAAAACTTTCTGCAAATTAAGGGATTTTTGCTGTTGTATTTAAGAGTAGAAGGTGAGGAGCGGGAGGAGTTATGAGCTGGCGGGGACATCGTTGCCAATATTACCATGACAAGGTGTCGCTGGAGGACTATATAAAGTATGATTGACAAATATGAATGATAAATAAAATGGTTAAATGAGACCACAAACAAAACTCTCCTCCCAAAACTCTCTCTCTCTCTCTCTCTCTCTCTCTCTCTCTCTCTCTCTCTCTCTCTCTCTCTCTCTCTCTCTCTCTCTCTCATCTTTGCTCTATCTTATACATAGATATCTTATATTTGCAAATTATATTAATATAATATTCCCTGCTAATTACCAGTGAATGACACTGATTCAAGGGCGTAGTGCGTGTCAACAAGGCACAGTGTGAGATGACACACCAGGGGGGGGGGGACAAGACACAGGGGAGAGCACACTACTCACGACACATGCTGGGGTCCCAGTATCCCCAAGATGTACTCCTCCACCATTGAAGTATTGTTGGGGTCGAAGTTCACATCGCTGATGTTGACGGGGCCGCTCACTGTTGCCCCGGACCCGTCCGGCGCCTCCGTCACGTACTGGAGGTTGTGTGGAGTGGGAGAGGCCATGGCGGCCCCCTAGTCCTCCTGCTGGTGACACAAGCAGTGAGTGTTGGTGGCTGCTGACACCCTCTCAAGGTCCTACGAGAGAGGTCGTTGGTGAACCCAATACCAGCACCCCCCTGTTGGGGCGTGCGGTAATGAGGCTAAACTGAATCGTATGTAGGGTTCTGGAGTACCACTTGGGGGCGTGTGTGTGTATGTGAAGGGTGTCCAAGGGGGGCAGATGAGGGTGAAGCGTAAGTCACTGCGTAGGGTGAAGGTTGAGAGCGTCAACAGAGGGCTTGCTGCAGGGGACAAGACGTCCAGCCTGAATCAGCTTGATAGAGGTCAAGGGTGAGCCAGGTGGAGGAGGTCAGGTCACTGTGATGATGGTAGTGTGAGAGAGTAGAGACAGAGGGCAGCACCTCATACGGCTCATCACTTATCGATTTTCTTCTGTCAATCACGTCATCAATACTCCGTGATTGCACTCTCAGAGTTCAAGAAAGTTTCAGAACAGGACATACGTCAATCATTAACATAGAAGGCTCACAGTTCCATTAGAACTCGAGACGTCCATAGTCGCAAGCTTCACAACAATTGTCTGCTTCCTTGAGATTACTTTTCTTAAGATCACTGATTTACTACAGCCTTCAACAATAGCGAGATCAGCACCAATAACTTGAACAAGATTTGTAAATACTGATATCCAGATTCTTTGAGTTAGTCGTTAATAATGAGAGCGGATCACGTCAGCTTCTGGCGTCTCTAGTAGGCTCTCATCTCAGCCTGAGACCTCCTGCAGTTTACCTTCGTCGCCCTGAAATAAAAAGGTTCAGTTTAAGAAGAGCATAAGAGGTATACTTGTAAACTTTATAATGAGTGTTGTCGTGAGACCTGGTGACCGAGAACCTGTCAGTGGAGGTATGACTGTCACACACACACACACACACACTGTTGACAGTGGAGGGAAAAATATCACTATATTTATTTTTATCTCACCTTTTCATATCTATATTCTAACTCTGCCTCTCTCCCCCACACACACACCAACACAGTATAAAGGTCACATCAGAGCGCTACAGCTGCACGCTGCGAGACATAAACACGCCAACACAGGAATACCTGTACCATCATAAACACGACTTAGTGTGTTAGGACGATTAATTGCGAAGAGCCTTAGTGAAAAATGAAGTCCTTTTGAACTGTAGGTTAAGCTTGGCAGTAATTAAATGGGTACGTGAGGTATCACACACACACACACACACACACACAGGGCCGCCTTGTGCTCAATGTTGGAATTGTTGTTAAAATTGTACTTGTTTATTAACATTATTAGGAATGTTAGGGTTAAATTATGTAAGTATTTATGGGACTTTTTTTATGTAAGGCTTTAACATGGGCTGTAAAAGCACACACACACACACATATATACATATATATATATATATATATATATATATATATATATATATATATATATATATATATATATATATATATATATATATATATATATATATACGTAAGAACATAATGATAATTGTGAGGAAGTATGGCATATATGTGTGTGTGTGTGTGTGTGTGTGTGTGTGTGTGTGTGTGTGTGTGTGTGTGTGTGTATGCACGCGTGTGCGTGTGTACCTTCGGGTTGAGGCAGGTTCAGGGGCTTGAGTGATATGATCATGAAGTTGGGGGAGTTATTTCCTTTTTTTAACGTCACCGATATATTAATGCTGTCGGCTATAAATTTCCACCTTAATGGGGCGTGTGTATGGTGTGCTAAACTGGGAATTTGCATGTCAATGGCACTTGTTGGTGATGCAGGTGTTAGGATATATATATATATATATATATATATATATATATATATATATATATATATATATATATATATATATATATATATATACCACAGGGGGGGGAGGGGGGTTACTTGGTGTTGCCTGGGTCTGTCTGTCTGTCTGTCTGTCTGTCTGTCTGTCTGTGTCCCCCCACCCCCCCTCCTCTGACAGTTCACCCGGTTTTCCTTTTACGAATTCAAGTGTCTGTGTACTGGTCCCCCTGGTACATGACTGCCACACTTCGCTCGCTGGTGTGGTGGTCATGGGACAGGTGGTTGGCGGGGAGAACCCTGCAGGCCTGGGTTCGAATACTCCAAGGGATCATATTATTAGTCTGGTAGCTAGTAATATATATATATATATATATATATATATATATATATATATATATATATATATATATGTGTGTGTGTGTGTGTGTGTGTGTGTGTGTGTGTGTGTGTGTGTGTGTGTGTGTGTGTGTGTGTGTGTGTGAGTGTGTGAGTGTGTGTGTGTGTGAGTGTGTGTGTGCGCGTGTGTGTGAGTGTGTGTGTGTGTGTGTGTGAGTGTGTGTGCGTGTGTGTGAGTGTGTGAGTGTGTGTGTGTGTGTGTGAGAGTTAAGTTCTGGGGCAGGATAACTGCTCAGATTTATAGAAAGTGTGTCTCCTCTCTCTTCATATTTTAAATTTTCTCACTCAGTTACCCTCTCTTTTCCTTTCTTTCCTTCTCCTTCCCTCCCTCCCTCCCTCCCTCCCTCCCTCCCTCCCTCCCTCCCTCCCTCCCTCCCTCCCTCCCTCCCTCCTTCCCTCCCTCCCTTCTTCCCTCCCTTCTTCCCTCCCTCCCTCCCTCCCTCCCTCCCTCCCTCCCTCCCTCCCTCCCTGGCGATATATGCTCACAAAACCCCACCATTAAACATGTCAGAAAACAGCATGTTGAGCACCACCATCGTGGCCAGCTGTCTGGCACCTTCCCGCCGCCCTCCACTCCTGCCCACATGGCTAGTGGACACCCGAGGGACTACCAGGCTACTAGCCCGGATAGTAGTACTAAATAACACTACTCAAAGACGTCTTAGAGTACTCCGAGATTAACTTATACTCTTCTTAACCCTTCTCCATAACTACCCCTCGTCTAGTTGCTCCTTATTATGGAGCAAATCACGATGTCTAGGATCTTTATTTTGGACCTTCATCTAAGACATGCATCGTTAGGGCCTCGAGACAACAATCCCAGGAAGTATAAACAAGCCAGGATCAAAACTACGAAGGATCAGATCATTCACACGAATTTTGACCACCTGGGTTTCTCAGGATGAAGTTTAATCATCCTTAAGGAAAATTAGAAGATAAATTATTGGTACTTTTGAGTAAGAAACCCCATTTCCTGTGCAGGCGATGAGTCACAATAACGTGACTGAAGTATGTTGACCAGATCACAAACGAGAAGGTGAAGGGACGACGACGTTTCGGTCCGTCCTGGACCATTCTCAAGTCACAATCGACTTGAGAATGGTCCAGGACGGACCGAAACGTCGTCGTCCCTTCACCTTCTAGTATGCGGTCTGGTCAACCCCATTTCCTGCTTAGGTCTATAAGAAACTTGATGAAAAAAATAGTCATTTGGCTCTTGCGAATAATAACATTAAACTGTTTCTTCAAATAATTTTCAGAAAATGTCAAAAGTTCTCCAAATTAAAAATATTATTTAAAGAGTTACTCTGAGAAACTTTTGGAATTACACGTTAGAAGCAAGAACACGTCGCCCATTGTTTTTAAGAAACCTGACGTGACATTGACTCGCTGGAGAGCAGTTCGTGTTCCTGCAGCCACTGGCTCCTGTAGGGCTGGAAGGGGCTGGTATTGGACGCTGGAAACTGGATATTCCCGATGTGAGGCTACCAAGAGCTAGAGTTCCAGGGACACTCTCATACTCACTACCTTCCCCCCTCACACCCTCTCACTCTCCTACTCATTCATTAACTCTTCAGTAAACTTCCTCTCACAAAAATCACATCTTTGAAACATGTTCTCGTGTAAGATTACAGAGAGAGAGAGAGAGAGAGAGAGAGAGAGAGAGAGAGAGAGAGAGAGAGAGAGAGAGAGAGAGAGAGAGAGAGAGAGACAGAGACAGAGAAAGACAGAGAGAGAGGGACAGAGAGAATGAATGACAGTCAATGAAAGCATGACTTCGTTTACCTAGTCATACCATGACTTCACACACACAAAAAGGAAAAATATAAATTGGATTACCGTTATCAAACACAGTTGAAAAAAACAAGACTTTAAAACAGAAATCCTGGCTAACCTCCGAGCCGTTGTGACTGACCTGCCCTGATGGCTGACCTGTCCTGACGGCTGACCTGCCCTGATGGCTGACCTGTCCTGACGGCTGACCTGCCCTGATGGCTGACCTGCCCTGACGGCTGACCTGTCCTGCTGAATCCCTCTAACATTACTTCCGTGATCCAAATAGTCAAATTACTTCCCTGTGACAAACCACCACCCACAACAGGCCAATATATCCCGTACGTGTCCGGGCAACTATGCCAAACTGACACTTACCGGATTATCTAAATTTAGCGAAACCTTAGGACGGTTATGGGATTTTCAGGCGGTATTTGGTTATTTGCGTTTAATCAAATAGGAATCAGGTTGCGGAATTCCTGCAATGTCATTGATTATTAAAGTTTAATTGAGTTCTCACCTTTCCCCGAGCCCAGGGATAATGGGTTCACAAACTCGTATGGTGGAAGTATTGTGTTGAAGGTGGTTCATTGGTTGTTGAACTTAAGGTCGGTACATTTCCGGAGGGTTATTTAAGCCCTCTACAACACCTTACTATAAGTAGTACTATAAGTAAAGGGCATCCACCAGTCTTAGCTGGATACTACAAGTATAGCATCAAGTATTAGGCCCGCCAAACACACACCGAAACTACGACGTTGGTACAACGTTCGAACAAGTTTTAACACCTAACCAGTTATAACAACCAATATAGCAAGTTGTAACAACGTTCTAATGCGTCATAAACACGTTAAGCCAAGATGTAACAACTTTATTACAAGTTGTAACAAGCGGAAAATAGAGACAGTCTTGGTTTGTGTTTCCAGGGGCTAGGTATACTTGCTTAGAAACCTTTTTTTTTTAGTTTTGAACATAGTCCAGAGTAAAAGTAAACTCGGTATACCCAGCGAGCAGCGAGGGACATCCTTGGTGTGAACATCCAAGAATTGGGTGAAATTCGTTACTGATTCGATAGCAAAAAGTAAAAATACGCATTATAGCTTTAAGTCCCAATTAAGAACTTGTCCCCAACTTGGCCCCCGTAGACCTTCACCCTGGTTGACCTTGACCCCTGGTTGACCTTGACCCCTCAGTTGACCACGACCCCGGTAGACCTCAACCTACAACTGACCTTAAAGACATATTAGCCAAGTCTTCACCACCGTGACCTCAGTCGCAAGTCAGAGCCCCGGAAAATGAAACCACAATGGAAATACATTTATCGCAGGTGAAGGATCTATGACCTCGTCTGCACTGAACCCTATACCCGCCTGCTTCCTGTGGCAACCGGGAAATATGAGTTTTAATGGGATTGCTCACTGGAGCGAGAGGCAGGGAGATCTTTGGCATGTGTACACAAGCGTGTTTTTATGTCAATATCAGAGCAAAGTAAACATATTTGTTGCTGAGGACTAACAATGGTGCCCAGATATTTGTCCTCAAATGAGTTGTGATTAGTAATACTGGAAATAGTATTTAACATTTATAACAGATATTGTTAGTACGTGACAGTAAGTTCCTCCAGGCGTTATCTTGAGATGATTTCGGGGCTTAGTGTCCCCGCGACCCGGTCCACGACCAGGCCTTCTTTTTGTTACACCCCCCCACCCTCCCAGGAAGCAGCTCCTAGCAGCTGTCTAACTCCCAGGTACCTATTTACTGCTAGGTAACAGGGGCATCAGGGGTGAAAGAAACATTTTGCTCATTTGTCTCCG